ACTGACATCTGTGGTCCAATGAATGTAAAAGCAAGGCATGGGTCTGTTTATTTCATCACATTCATTGATGATTATACTCGATTCGGACATGTCGATTTGATTTCTCATAAGTCCGAAGCTTTAAATTGCTTTAAAAGATTTATGACCTCAGTGGAAAATCAATTAGACAAGAAAATAAAAGCATTAAGATCCGATCGAGGTCGAGAATATCTGTCTGATCAGTTCAGAAATTTATGTGATGAAAAGGGAATAGAAAGACAATTGACTATTCCATATACTCCTCAACAAAATGGTGTTGCGGAAAGGAGAAACAGAACCTTAATGGAAATGGTTAGATCAATGATGGCACAAGCTAACTTGCCCATCACCTTTTGGGGTGATGCTTTGTTGACTGCTGCCTACATACTTAACCGTGTGCCTCGATTTATGGACAGAGGCAAAGCTGATTTAAGCTTTCTAAAACCTTGGGGTTGTCTTGCCTATACTCGTGAGTCTTCTCACAAGTATGGAAAATTAGGCCCAAGAGGCAAAAAGAGTATTTTTATAAGATACTCAGAGCACTCAAAAGGATATGTATTCATAGGTGAGCAAGAAAGCGGAAGTATAATTGAATTTGAATCACGGGATGTCACATTCTTAGAGAATGAATTTCCTAAAAAGGGCGAAGTAGGTAGTGATTACTCACTATACGAATCTGTGGATCGTGATAGTGAAGTTAGTGGGAGCATTGTGACAAATGGAGAGTTGAATGCAACCCAGTCTCAATTGCAATCACTTAAAGAGACGATACTACCATTATCTCATTCGAGTGGAAGCGCAATGGAACGTGGTGAATCATCAGGCGTACAGCATTCCATACGACAGTCAAGTCGTAATAGGATTCCCCGTCGACGTTTTGATATTGAAGGAGAAGCTTTCATGATCGCCCCACAAGATGAAGATGAGCCGAAGAATGTGAACGATGCTCTAAAGTGCCCTGATAAGGAAGAATGGATACATGCAATGGAAGAGGAAATGGAGTCATTAAGATCAAATCAAGTTTGAGAATTGGTTGACCTTCCAAAAGGACGCAAAGCCATTGGGAACAAGTGGGTTCTCAAAATAAAGCGAAAGGCTGATGGCTCAATAGAGAGGTATAAGGCTCGCCTTGTGGCGAAAGGATATAATCAACAGGAAGGAGTTGACTTTGAAGAAACTTTTTCTCCTGTGGTTAGATTTACCTCTATTCGCCTTATTCTGGCAATAGTAGCTAGTATGGATCTGGAATTACATCAAATGGATGTAAAGACTGCATTCTTCAATGGAGAATTAGAGGAAGAAATTTATATGGAACAACCTGTTGGTTTCATTACAAAAGGCCAGGAGCACAAAGTGTGTCGACTATTGAGATCGATATATGGCCTTAAGCAGTCTTCGAGACAATGGTATATACGTTTTCACAATGCCATAATGGCATATGATTTTGTAATGATTAGTGAAGACAATTGTGTATATATCAAAAGATCCAAAGATCAATTTGTGATCTTGTCATTATATGTTGATATACTAATTGCCTAAGTAGTATGGAGTTAGTTAATACAAATCAAGAATTGGTTATCTTCCAATTTTGAGATGAAAGATATGGGTGAAGCTGCATGCATTCTTGGAGTTAAGATTTCAAGAGATCGCTCAAAGAAATCCCTATCCCTTTCACAAGAGACGTATGTGAATAAAATCCTTGAGCGATTTCGTATGCAAGACTGTAAACCAATAGATACTCCTATTGCAAAGGGCGAAGCATTAAGCGACAGAATGTGTCCTAAGACTTCACAAGAAAAAGAGCAAATGGAACAAGTTCCATATGCTAGTGCTATCGGAAGCTTGATGTACGCTATGATGTGTACAAGACCTGATATTTGTTATGCAGTTGGAATGGTAAGTAGATACCAATCTAATCCAGGTCAAGTACATTGGATTGCCGTCAAAAGAATCATGAGATATCTAAAGGGAAGTGCCGACTATGCGCTGACTTATCAAGGAAGTGATCTACACCTTGAAAGCTATACTGATGCTGACTGGGGAGGAGATTTAAAAGAAAGAAAATCTACTTCTGGATACGTGTTGTTACTGAATAATGGCGCCATATCTTGGAGCAGTAAGAAGCAACAGTGTGTAGCCTTATCTACAATGGAAGCAAAGTTCGTGGCTCTATCAGCAGCGGCACAAGAAGCTGTTTGGCTTAGAAGATTTTTGGATCACTTAGGTGTTACTAAGAATGCTGCAAACCCAGTATTGGTCTATTGTGATAGCCAAGCAGCAATAGTGTACACTAAGGATCCCAAGTACCATGGAAAGACCAAACATAGAGATATCAAGTATAACTATGTCAATGACATGGTTGCACGAAAGGAAGTGAACGTGAAGTACATATCTACACAAAGGATGATAGCAGATCCTATGACGAAGCCGATTCCTAGAGAAGTTTTTCATGGTCATGTGAGATATCTAGGACTGTGTAGAATATGATGTACTGAATATTGTAATTTTCCCAGAATGTTCACTATTAATGAAGTTTGTTATTATCAAAGCCTATAAGTTTGTATGACATTTGTGAATGTCGATGCTGAGTGAATTATATTGAAAAGGTATGTCGGACAGATGAGAGATTAGCCCACTCACACGGGTAATCGCCTCTACTCACTGTGTGATGAATAGAGATGAGACAGTTTTAAGCTTGTTATCTAGGTGATAATTGACTCCTGCAACTTGAAAAAGTCAAGATTGCTATCCTTCAATGCGAGCGAGAGAGTTTGCTCATGAGTTCTTTTCTGTTCTTTCCCTTGTATGTTAGAGAATGAATGTAGAATGAATGTCGTGCCAGTAAATTATAAGTCGATGTGATCGCTGTGTGATTGAGGGATCAATCTTCTACGAGTTTGATGCCGTCAATGTAGGTTGTTGTGTACATTTCATGCGGTATAAGTAGTCGTATTCTGTACTGAATTTGGTATATACACGAAGTTAGCCAGTTAAGAGCTGACTATTCTCTCGTACTTCTAACTTTTGCATTCATGGAATTGTACTCAAATCTCCCTTTTGCCTTTGTACTCGAGGGCCGATTTCCATCCGGTCCCGAGAAAATCTTTGCACGTTTCCGTCACATTTTGAGGGGCCTCCACTACATAGAAACTCTCTACCCAAGACGGTCCTTTGGCCGGGCAGTTTCATAGGCATGGATAGTCATTCGACATGCTCTCCACACAAAAAACACCTCTTTCACCGCGGTGTTATCACATGTTTTTCTTTCTTAATCGAAGAAACCATGTACAAAAATAAACTTTCTTTTATTAAAAAGCAAGTTACAAAAAGTAAAATAATATGAGTGCAGCCGTTTAAACTAGAGTTTATGGTAGTTATATTATATTAAAATTATATTAGAGTAACATACTTATTTTAAATTTATTATTCATTGTATTGTTCTTGTACTTATTTTTATTGGTGGAATTCATTTGTCTTTGCAATTCATTTCAAATAAAAGATAACAAGAAATGGACTTGAACTTTATCTTAGCCATTCAAGTAATCAAATGAAAATTCCATTAGATTTTATTTGAACTCGCACACCACCTTTGTAGGTCCATCATTACAAAAAATTACTTACTGTTATATTTTTTCACTAAACTAACAACAATCTCAAAAAACTGATAAAATTACAAATAAATGCTCGAATAGATAGAATTATGACCTATGCCTGTATAAAATGCGACCCACTTAACTAGTTAAAAGTAATTTTGAAGGTCACGTCCAGTCGTCCACCATCTTATTGATGGAGTCTTACCTGATGCATTTGGACTTTTCATACAATTTGTCATAATTTGCCAAGCGAAACTTAGAGCATTCCATATTATCCCTAAAAAAGAACAAAAGAAAAAGATGCTATGTTTAAGGAAACTTTGGCTACATGACAATGCCGCTATGATATGAATCGAGAGAGCATAAGAAAAGTCTTTTTTGCCATCTATGATCAACAAGCCCTTTATCCCATGCAAATGCACGGGTTGCTTGATATTTCTTGTCAACTAGAATCGAAATATTGGCCTTTTCATGAAAAGTAAATTAGACCGTACGTAATGCTAAAAAAAGGCATCGCCTTTTTAAAAGTCTTTCTATAGCATGTAATTCTGTTAAAAATAGCTTCAAATTTTCAAATTCCGAAAATGACCTTATCAAGGGGTTAGGAAAAAGGTAAAAGAATTGAATGTCACTCAAGCTAAATCGAAATGGAAAAAAAATGGAAAGATACAAACAAGCAGGTGCTTCATAGCTAACTACTCATTCATGCTCCCTTCACGTGTAAGCTAAGCAAAGATAATTAATTATTGATTTTTTAACCAACATAATATAATATGAAGCCTCGATAATTAAAAAAAAAAAGATATTGATACAAACAGTCTCTGAACTTTGTCTCGATTTGCAATGTAATATTTGAACTTGTAATTTATTCAATATAATCCTTGAACTTTAGCCTAATATTCAATACGGTCCTTGAACTTTTAATTTATTTAATATGGTTCTTAAATTTTTTTAATACATGTTTAATATAGTCCCTGAACTATATGAAAATGTTCAATATAATCCTTCCATTGGTTCAAGTTCAGGAACTATATCGAACATCTTCGTATAGTTCTGGACTAAATTGAATATGTACAAGAAATTCAAGGACGACATTGAACAAATTAAAAGTTTAGAGATTGCATTGCATATTGGGTTAAAGTTCATGGACGATATCGAACAAATTAAAAGTTTATGAGTATGCCAAAGTTCAGGGATTGTAGTTGTAATTTTCCCTTTAAAGAATTAAAAAAAAGAAGAAGGGGCAAATAGGAACGAGAAAATAGAGAAAAGAAGTAAAAAAGCAAAAGGAGAAAAGCAAAAGCGTGCTTTTACCAAAAGCCCCACGGAAAGGGGCGTTAATTACCATAACCCTTTGACCTTTGCTTCGTCTTCCCCCTCGTGGTTTTTACTTTGGCTGGCTGACCTGCTAAAAATTTTCCATCTCCTCCTCTTCCTCTTCCTTTCTCCCTCGCGCTCACGACGCATTGCTTTCGCAAATTCGCTCGCGCTCTTCGATCTCTCTCCCTCCCCGCAGCATTCTTCCCCGACTGGATTCGTCGATCGCGATCTCGTCCACCGGAGGGAGGCCTCGAATCGGATCGGCAGGGCCGCGCCGCGCCGCGCCAAATCTCTCGTTCGACTGAGGTAACATCGCTCGGCATTTTCGTATGTTTTCCGTCCAAGTGCCATGATTGTCGATCGCGTTCGCACGATCTTTTTCGGCGGGCGGTGTTGCTTGATCCGCGGGAATCTGCGGAGCTCGGAATCGGGCGTGCCGGGATCATTTCCTCGCTCGTCGAATCTCTCGATGCCCCGATGCTCTTAAAGTAGGCGTCTTGCTTGCGTGTTTTGCAATCGTTTGATTTCACATTTTTGTCGGTCGGCTGCGGCTGGTGCGCTGCCTGCCCCTCCAGTGAGGAACGAAGGCCTGCGTGTAATGGGGATCTGTCAAAATCCCTTTTTTTTTTTAAGCTCCTCGTTGTGGTTGGCCGCTTCTCTGTTCTCTCTCTCTCTCTCTCTCTCTCTCGCTGTGATGGCGTCGGAGAGTGTCGCGTACTGGCCCGTCTAGTTTGGCTGAGTTCTCCTTGTTTGGTTAGTGGTGGCGAGGAGAGTGAGCTTTGGAGTTTGGAGTTTTGGTTTCGGGAGCTGTTTTTACGGCAGAGGGAACTTCGATTCGAGAGTGCGCTGTGTCTTAAGTTCGCGAGTTGAATTAATCTAGGAGACACACAGTGCTTTACTTTCATAAACTGCTTACTGGGAGAGGGTTTACGAAGCCTTTATTTTCTCAGTTTTGCTTTAGTTGTGGGCGAAACGGCCATAGCAAAGGGATTTTCAGGTCTCTTCTCTTTGGTGGTTCTGCCAATTTTGTCTCCTAAGAAGACATGATAAGGAAGAAATTGAATGCTTAGGTCCTGTTTGGTATGTGGGAACGAGGATGAAAGAGGAACTGTTCCTTTTCCCTTGGACTTTCCTTATGTTTGGTATGGTTTATTAGATAAGATTCCTTCAGTAGAGAGTGCACATTTCATTTCCTATATGAAAGTTTTGAAAATAATATATCCAACGGGTACCCTTTCTTTTTTTTCTCACTTGTGCACATCCTTTCTATGTCACAACCTAAAATAGAAATTGAAGTCACCATTACTCTTTCTATTCCATCGTTTTGTTGTTCCACTTTCACCCTACGCCTTAGATAAGAGCTGATATAGAATGGATCATAATGTCATATAAGGATTTTTATAGCTGACCCAACATAGTGGGATAAGGCGTAGTTAATGTAGCTGCTGCTGCTGTTCTAGCTATCATAAGAGCACATTTTTGCTAAGAGGTGGACTATTATTCCATTGATTTTGATTTCGAGATTTCATGCTAGATGAGTTAGGTTTGAGGACTCACTTCGCTTGGATTCTCCTTTATCCTATTTGTTAGAGCATGTAACCATAAACCACTCCTTCGCCTTCCTTTAGCAACTTAAACATTGAAATCAGTCAACATTGGTTTAATGTATACATGATTGAAGCAGGATAATCCTTTGTCCACGCTTTAGTCTTTGGTAAATCCAAGTCTACATGTAAGGGCGAGTGTTAGAGCGTGCAAATATCGATCCATGTCTTTGTTTAAGCCTTTAGATTATGAACAGTGATATCTATTTCTACACAATTTGATGAATTGGCTTGGGTACACTAAGCTATTTGCTTATTTCATCTGTGCCAATTTTCTTAGAGATTCTTTATGAGAACTTAAACACCTAGGGAGTTTTGAAAACTGAGAAAATCTTTCAAAACTAGGAATTCTTTTTCCCGCCTTTGTTTATGTGGAATGTGGACTGATCTAGACAACCATATTTTGTTCATTGTGTTTTTTTTTTTTTGGGGGGGGGGGGGGTTTGAGAGATAGAATCTATTTGTATATGTTTATGTGGAGCATAATGAGGATGGAAATCATTAATTATATTTCTTTAAAACTACATTATCCCCAAGGGAGCCAAAAGTGATTAAGAGAAAGTACGGGAAAAGAACACTGATGGTGCCATAACTTTCATACAGCTCACTTTGGTGCTGTAACTTTCGTAAGATGCTCTACCTTTTAAGCAATCGTTCAAGTGTTGCAACTTTTAAGAATTGATCACTTACGTTACATTGGCGATTTTCTTGTCGGAAAATCCTACTTGAAGATGCTATGTGGGCTGGAAATTAATGTCAAGTAGGATTTTCCGGCAAGAAAATTGCCAAGGTGACATAAGTGATTTGTTTTTAAAAGTTATTGACACTTAAATGATCGCTTGCAAAACTATGGCACCAAAGTGAGCTCTGTACGAATGTTATGACACTTTTAGTGTCCTTATCCTGAGAAAGTATTGTGTCTTTGCATGTTTGGGCTGTGTTGTCAATGGGAAATCGTATAGCAAATATCTATTAAACTATACTGTCGTGACCATTTGATGTCATTCAACTATGAAGATTGCTTGCGTCTCCACTTCAAATCTGTTTCCGTTTCCAAGTCTGTTGAAAAAGAGAGTTAGTATGCAATACCGTTGCACAGTCATAGAGGCACAACATTCTGATTCATTGTTTTGTTAGTTCCTCTGCCCTTCACTCATTTTTTTTTTTTTGTGTCTTATTCTAAGTGGCATGATCGTCAGATGGAGTGAAAGTTGACTCAGTCTATGGACAACACAATGGAAGAAGAAGAATATACTAAAGAGCTAAATGAACCTTCCAAAGATTTGGGTGATATTGGACAGATAGAGGATATTGCAGGACCATTACACCAAGCTCATGATATAAAGAATGATGGTGCAACAGAGGTAGAAAATAACGTCATCGGGGAAGGAATTGATTCTATAGCTGCAATCACGGATGAAGACCATTTTGAGCAGGTTTCTTTGAAAGATCAAGAAAACTCTTTTGGCGAAAACCATGAAAGTTTAATAGATTCAAACAGGTCATCAACTTCAGACAATGTTAGACACACGTCTGTGTCATACTCAGCAGAGTTTGACTCTTCACCTGTTGCTGAAATACACCATCGCCAGTCCACATCAAGTCCTGAGCCTGAGAGGCAGATGGTCGATGCCATAAAGCAGTCATCCTCTGCAACCAGTCTTGATTCAGCTTTTCATGGAGATGTTGGATTCTCTGCTGTTGATTCCCCACAAAAGAATAAATTAAGAGCTGTTATGCCAAATGTATCTCCAGAGTTGTTGCATTTGGTGGATTCTGCAATCATGGGGAAGCCTGAGAGCTTAGAAAAGCTGAAGAATATCGTTAGTGGCGATGAGAATTTTGGATCTGGAGATGAAATGGATAGTATCGCCTTCTTGGTAGTTGATTCTCTTATTGCCACGATGGGTGGTGTAGAGAGTTTTGAAGAAGATGAAGACAACAATCCCCCAAGTGTGATGTTAAACTCGCGGGCGGCCATTGTGGCAGGTGAGCTTATTCCTTGGCTTCCTTGGGTGGGAGATAGTGATAAATTTATGTCCCCTAGGACAAGGATGGTCAGAGGACTACTTGCTATATTACGGGCATGTACTAGAAACAGAGCAATGTGCTCCATTGCTGGTTTGTTGGGTGTTCTGTTGATATCTGCCGAGAGGATTTTTCTCCGGGAAGATAATTCAACTGAGGCAACGACATGGGATGGAACTCCTTTATGCTACTGCATTCAATACTTGGCTGGGCATTCACTTAGTGTTGTCGATTTGCATAGATGGTTTCAAGTCATTAATAGGACGCTGAACACTGAATGGTCAAAAAGATTAATGCTTGGATTGGAGAAGGCTATGGGTGGGAAGGAGTCAAGGGGGCCTGCATGTACATTCGAGTTTGATGGCGAAAGCTCTGGCCTGCTTGGTCCTGGAGAGAGCCGTTGGCCATTTATGAATGGATACGGTTTTGCAACGTGGATATATATTGAATCTTTTGCAGATACATTAAATGCTGCAACTGCTGCAGCAGCAATTGCTGCTGCAGCTGCAGCTAAGTCTGGCAAATCATCAGCCATGTCTGCAGCTGCTGCTGCCAGTGCACTGGCTGGTGAAGGCACTGCACACATGCCAAGGTTGTTCAGTTTCCTGTCGGCTGATAATCAGGGGGTGGAGGCCTACTTTCATGCCCAGTTTCTAGTTGTTGAATGTGGTAGTGGAAAGGGCAAGAAGGCCTCTTTGCATTTTACTCATGCATTTAAGCCGCAATGCTGGTATTTCATTGGTCTCGAACATACAAGCAAGCAGGGGATTCTTGGGAAAGCAGACAGTGAGCTCAGGTTGTATATTGATGGATCTTTGTATGAAAGTCGCCCTTTTGAATTCCCTCGAATTTCTAAGCCCCTTTCTTTTTGCTGTATTGGAACAAATCCACCCCCTACTATGGCTGGTTTACAAAGACGTCGCCGCCAATGCCCTTTGTTTGCTGAGATGGGGCCTGTTTATATTTTCAAGGAACCAATTGGCCCTGAGAGGATGGCGCGCTTAGCTTCTAGAGGGGGGGATGTGCTGCCTGCATTTGGCTCAGGAGCTGGGTTGCCTTGGCTGGCGACAAATGACCATGTGCGAAATATGGCTGAAGCAAGTGCTGTTCTTGATACTGAAATTGGAGGATGCATCCACCTTCTCTATCATCCCAGTCTACTCACCGGCCGATTTTGTCCAGATGCTTCTCCCAGTGGCGCTGCTGGTATGTCATTCATTTCTCTGTTAACTATCAAGAGTAGGTGCTCTACTTGGTATCGTGCTTCAATGTTATTGCAGTGATACTTTTATAGAGTGTTTGTGCCTTGCTATCTGAATTTGTGAAATCCTGATGACTGAGGTATAGGCTTGTCGGAGTTACCTTTCGCAATACTTTAATACAAATGGAAGAATTGCTTGTGTAAGAAAATATGGCCTCTCACCATTACCTTGTTTTGAATATGCTCCTATAAATTCTGTATTGTGTTTGGTTTTATCATTACCACTAATCAAGCAAGCCTTGTCTCTTTTGGTTTTTCTCCATGGTTATGCCCTTGCAAGCTGGTATCCATATAATGAGGACAGCTAGAAATTCTTGAAGTATTTCTTGCGGAGATATCAGCATTATATACAGGCCATGCCTCTTTAGGAAGCAGATGAGTTAGCAAAATCCTGTTAGTTTGAAAATTGAATGAAGAGTGATGATATTTAGGAGTGGATGGAGAAAATTTTATGTGTGGTTCTTAAGGGGCAAGGGACATAGAAAAGGTAGGAGGAGAGAGAAGCTGTAGCATATTCAATTTGAATAACCATAAATGTTGACTAATTTGGCTAACATTGAACTTGGTAAAATGAAATGGTTGAATAATTGAAAAATGAGATTCAAAGTCTGCTAAGGCATGTCTGTCTTGATCTCATGATTATCACTAGGTTGTGTGTTTAATGTAGGGTACCTTTTGGGATCTATCCTAACTCATGAATAATTTTTTCTTAAGCTTGGCTTAGTTTGTTGCAACAATTCTTCGATTATGGAAAGCTTTGCGTTGCATCCTGTCATCCATCTTGATGGAGCGTGATTCATGAAGTTTCTTTTGGGTGCTTCAGGTACACTCAGACGACCAGTGGAGGTTCTTGGGCAAGTTCATGTTGCGACTAGAATGCGGCCAGTGGACGCGTTGTGGGCCTTGGCTTATGGTGGTCCCATGTCTTTACTTCCTTTTGTGGTTCCAAGTGTTGATAAAGACAGCCTTGAACCGCAACTAGGGGATCTTCCGCTTTCTTTGGCCACAACTAATCTGGCCGCTCCAATATTCCGTATCATATCCAGAGCTATCCAACATCCTGGGAACAACGAAGAGTTGTGTCGTGTTAGGGGACCTGAAGTTCTCTCCAGACTTCTAGACCACCTTTTGCAAACCTTGTCAGCAATCAATGTTGGCCATAGTGATGGTGTAGCAGACGAGGAACTTGTTGCAGCGATTGTCTCCTTATGTCAGTCTCAAAAGATTAACCATACTCTCAAAGTACAGCTTTTTAGTAGGCTGCTGTTGGATCTAAAAATTTGGAGCTTGTGCAACTATGGTTTGCAGAAGAAGCTTCTTTCTTCACTAGCAGACATGGTTTTTACAGAGTCATCGGTGATGCGAGATGCCAATGCTATTCAAGTGCTTCTTGATGGCTGCAGAAAATGCTATTGGACAATCTGCGAAAAGGACTCTGTCAATAACTTTTCTATAAATGATACAACCCGGCCAGTAGGTGAAGTCAATGCTTTAGTAGATGAACTCTTGGTGATCATTGAGCTTTTAATTGGTTCAGCACCTCCATCAATAGCTGCAGATGACATTCGGTGCCTGCTTGGTTTCTTGGTTGATTGTCCCCAGCCCAATCAGGTAAAGTGTTGTCCTGGAAGATTGAGTTTGTATGAAAAAAGAGCAAATAATTGAGTGAACATGTAGTCTCTTTGTTGAGTACTGATTTGTACGTTAATTTATTGAGTATACCAAATTAAGTTTTGAGTCGACTGGGTAAAAACTGTCAACGAGCAACAGTTTCTGCCTATTGATAGTCCTCAATTCAAGTTAACATTGTGGTCAAGTTCTTCTTTTCTATGCTACCTTCACTGTTAAGCCCTCTCTTTTTGTTTGCTTAGATAAATAGTCAGATAAAGTTTCTGGACATGCCATTCTTTTTATTGGTTGACACTGTAACATGGAGATAATTGCTCGTAATGAGTACTCTAGTGTTAGAGCAGGAAAAATGGTGATTTGATGTTCATCTGTAGTTGGGTTTGAAATCTGATTATCTCCAATCTTTCTGGTCTTTGTCGAATAAAGTAGCATGTTATCCCTGCTAGCATGAAATAATCTGTATTTTGACACTTTTGTGGTAAGTCTTGCTTGATAGTGGCAGTGTTAGTTTGGGCGTTACTCATCCACTGGATTATGTCCTGCGTAGTTGACTTTACGATTCACTACAAAGGCAATCCTTCTCATTTGTAATATGTCCTAGAAATAAATGTTTCATTTGTACAATGACTTGTTGTAATACCTGTTCAGGTTGCCAGGGTGTTGCATCTGGTCTACAGATTGGTGATACAGCCTAATACATCTAGAGCTCACATGTTTGCTGAGGCATTCATAGCATGTGGTGGCATAGAAACCCTTCTTGTTTTGTTGCAACGGGAAACAAAAGCTGGCGATGAGAGTATTCCAGAGTTGTCGTCTGAAAATAATGGAAGTCTTTCACCTCCTGGACTGCAACTGGCGAGCAGTAGTGGGTTTTCTGAAGTTAGTCAAGACAATGAAGTAGGTGCTCTGGAAGTGAATGAAGCAATTTCAAACGAGAAGCATCATAATCATTCCCCCACTGGTAGTGGTGGCACTCCGGTTTCTTCAGGCTTGAAGATTGAAAGGATGATATCCGTGTCTGAAAATCCTTTCTTGAAGAATTTGGGGGGTATAACCTTATCAATTAGCGCTGATAATGCGAGGAATAATGTCTACAATGTTGATAAGAGGGATGGAATAGTTGTTGCAATTATTGGGTTATTAGGTGCTTTGGTATCTCTGGGACTACTGAGTTTTGGTTCTCCTGCTCCCTCGGATATGACGACTAATCTTATGGGTAGTGGATTACATGAAGGAGGCAGTACCATGTTTGATGATAGAGTTTCTCTTTTGCTTTTTGCGCTACAAAAAGCAATTCAGGCAGCACCCAACAGGCTACTGACTAACAATGTGTACACGGCTCTGCTGGCAGCCTCGGTATTGCATAGAAAACCTCTTTTATATTATTCTTATTAATGAAAATGGTGGTCCATCAATAATGAGTACTCCAAAAACTCGCCAGAAAGCACCCAGATATGCGAATACAAAAGTTATCTAGCCAAAAAAATATCTTTAAATCCTTGTAAAGTAGGCAATATACCCTTGGCTTGACAACCAGGAAACAAAAGGCTTTTGCTCCTGATTAGCATGAGCAATCATAATTGACAGGCTGTCCTTTTTGTGTGATATGGTGCAACTGGAGTAGTGTGCAATTGAAAATTTATTTTGTTTGTTGCATCTGGTAGTCAAATATCTGTTTTCCTTTTTGCTTTGAGTGGATTCTTACCTTTCTCTTCTCAAGTCTTCATATGCTTGTCCTTGTGTTCCCTTTGCTTTATTATCATGGTGTCACCCCATGTTCAGTACTTAAGAAATTGTCATCCTTGTGATTATGATGGAAGCCATCTGTTATATTCTAGGTCGGAGAGAATAAGATCTGTATTATCTATTCTGACATATCAAGTACAACCGTCCTGGTTTCTATCATTTCCGGATGTCCCCAATTAGAGATATAAACCAGATGAAAGTTGCACTGAAAACATTGTCGAGTCCAAGTAAAAGCCTTGCTGCTAGTGTAGATTTCGTGCAGATGTGTAATTGGTCTACAAGCTCAAGAGCACTTTCTGTATCATAAGCATCGATTGTTGGTATGATACTGAAGAGAGCTCTGCCTGAAATACTACTTGATGAGTTCGGGTTGTGAAATGAACTTTCAGCTGCACAATTTTTTTTTCCTGCCACCATGTCCACATTTTGAGTCAAAATATATGTTACACCCTGTACAGGCAGGGTCGGATTATCTTAACTGTGTATATCAGGTTATTTAACATAAGCAATAGGTATGGCATATGAATTTGAGTTGCTTACTTGAACATCTTTTTTCATTTCAGATAAATGCTTCTTCAACAGATGATGGGCTTAATTTTTATGACTCTGGTCATCGCTTTGAGCACTCCCAGCTGCTATTGGTCCTTTTACGGTCACTTCCCTACACTTCCAGGTCCTTGCAGAGCAGGGCCATGCAGGTAACGTTCGTGTATACTTTATTCACCTCAATGGCCTAGTCATTTTGGCTTCTTTTCCCTTTGATGGTATTTAAGCTTGTGTGAGTTGTCCGTGCAACCGTAAGTTTTTTACTTGAACCTACATCATGGAAGTTTTAATATTCAGAATTCCAGTGAGCTTGTTGAGGAACATACATAATTGTTTTGTGTGCTTCCTGACGATAATCGTTGGACTAGTTCTTCTGAGGAGGAATTTTTATTAAAGGTTGGGCAAGTGGGTAGTATTTTATCATTCTTTACTCTTTAGGAAGCCAACACTCACTTTCTAGTGTCATACTCCCTATATTGGTGCAAATTATGGTAAGATAAAATGATCTATTTGCTGAATGAGGTGGGATTAAAGATTCATCTCTTATTTTTGTTGCTTAATTAGGTAGAAAACTTTTTTTTATATCAAAAACTAGGATAATACTTGCTGGATATGAGCTAGAAGCTTGGGTTTTGCAAATGATAAATGCAATTTTATCGAGATTATGCAAGTCTAATGTTAGTCTATGATTCCTTGAGCTGTTCAACAGCGGTGGGTCTTCTTCTGTTTGATTTACACTATGCAAAGGCTTGTTCAAAGTTTGATAGTTCTTCTCACTGGATATATCGCTGGATACAAGAAGCGTACGACTAGATTTTAGGTTTTCTTCCTTTACATCTTGAACCTGTGCCCATTTTTGGTTGTTAACAGCTCAAGATGTTCCAGCAAGTTGCTTCTATCCCTTACTTGCTGGCTAGATGCAACATATTGGGTGTTCTCACAGTGTTTCTTAAATCTTTTTCCCCCATTGTTTTCCTAGAAGAGTCGATGATATCCTCTAGAAAAAGTAGTGTTTCTGATTCTCTTGCCTGAGCAATTTTCTTTTTCTATACGATTTCAGGATCTTCTGTTTTTGGCTTGCAGTCATCCAGAAAATAGAAATAGTCTGATTACAATGGAGGAATGGCCCGAGTGGATCCTTGAAATCCTTATCTCCAATTATGAGGTACTATTGGCTATTTCAGTCAAGTTGCTTGCTAGACAAGCAGTCTTAACTTATCATGCTTGCACCAGATAACTAGCATGCTGACAAGAAATTCTGTTATATTTTCTATTTTATTTTTGAAGAAGCAAGATGTAGGTATTTGCAGAATGTAAGAATTTTCAGTATTCAGAAAGACATATTTTCAACTTCTAGTTCACTATTTCTTGTTTCAAGAGATGCCTTCTCTTTGGGAGGTGATGCCTATCATAATTACTTGATTTTTCAGATGGGTGCCGTTAACCACTCTACTTCACCAAGCTTAGGAGATATAGAGGATCTTATACACAACTTCTTGATAATCATCTTAGAGTATTCAATGCGCCAGAAGGATGGTTGGAAGGTTTGTCTTATTATATAACCGGATGATACCTCTTTTTTCCAACTTAATATAAGGTTCTTGATGTTGATGTTGTATGGCATTTCATATTTTTCAGTGTTGGGGCCAGTGGTCCTTGATAGTTGCATCCTTGCTGTTGTTTCTTGGCATACTTTGGCACATTGTGCTTACAGAATACTGGATCTTTATTGTTCCAGGTGGCGGTTCTTTACTTAATTTGACCCAGCCAAAGACTGGCATTTCATTATAGCTTCAATATATGAAATTTGCTTCCATTTTCGGAACCCTTTTCTAAGATTGACTTGAATGTATGCCAAAGTAATTGACTAGAATGATCACCACAGCTAGGCCTTTTATGCTGTAGAGTATGTACAGATTCTTTGGTTAAACTGTAATTCTGATAATTCTTTAATTTACTTGACTCCCTCCAAGATGTTTAATTCAATAAATGTCGTGTACTGTATTTAAAATGTAGCAAGGGGCTACCATCAAGGTAGTCAAACTTGCTTTGTTAACAAGGATGGTGAGGTCCTATCTAAAATTTCACCATACTGAATGTATGAGAAAACTCCAAACTGAAAATTGATCAAGAGACAAATTTAATTTCACAATTCTCATAGAATCAGTTCCCCTAACCATGCCATAACACATGCAAAAAAGAACCATAACATCATATACCCTTATTCCTTCAGGTTCAAATCAGACAAATAGCATCATGTAGCTAAAAAAGTTAAATTCCATTCAAATCATAAGTGTAAATTAAGATGTCAAGCATTATTTTATTTAGGGTGTGATTTACTTTCGAATTTTCATTTACTGCAGAAACAACGTTTACCCTTTCAAAGTGAAAAAGAAACAATAAGCAAGGAACCAAGGCGGTACTACAACTGTAACAAAAACTAAGAAGAAACTTCAAAGTCTAACCTATTATCCAAATTGGAAAGTGGTTTTATGGGAACTCAATAACTCAAAACATGTTGCCATCTATTCTGTACATCAAAGAAATTTGATTCTAAACTCTCAAAACCTCTCACATTTCTCTCCCTCCAAGTAAGGCAGAGCATTACTGGAGGGATTGCAGAAAATATTGTTCTTCGCTCTTTGTTATTTACATAACAAACCCATTCCAAGCCCAAAGTTCTTCCCTAACCATAGAATCCTCAACCCAATAAATTGCTGATAGTCCACATGGTTTACCCTAGTTTTCTCACTCTGGGGCAGTGAATTAGGATGTGGACATCTGACCTAGATGCACGCTTACATGAGTTTATTATAAAAGTAATCTTTTCCTAAGAATATTTGATTGTTCTGGGATTGTGACTTATTTTATTGTAAAGCTTCATCAATGATATTTTCATACTTGTGTTGCAAGGCAACCTATTTTATGACTTGCTTGGTTGGTTGTGCTTTAGAAATGGCCTGCCATGAACTATAGTAACGTAGATGGCATGCCGAGGTGATTTGTTTGTGTTGCTACCAAGAGACGAGTGTTTCTCTTTGTTGACTGGTGGATTTGTGTATTTTACATGTTTATGACTTAAAGCAGTTTCAGTTGTGCAGTTTGCTTAGTAGTTCTTTCTCTTGCAGGATATTGAAGCTACAATTCACTGTGCTGAATGGCTCTCTATAGTTGGTGGTTCTAGTACAGGAGATCAACGAATTAGGTATCAGTATTTTTCTGGTTGTTGCTTTCGTACTTATTTTGTTTTTTAAGTATCTAAAATGGAGGATTTACGGTTGATTATCCTTGAAATGACAAATTAGTGTCGTTGCTAATGGCAGCAATAACTTTACTTTCACACCTTATGCATAAAGTCACAATGCTCTGTTTATGCAGCTGCGTTTTCACCTTTTGGTTTGACTTCATTGGTAGGGAGTGGTCTTGACACATTTTAATCGATCAATTAACTATTCAGTAATTTTCTGCTTCTCAAACGTTTATCTAGTTATTGGTGATTCTAGACTCGTTTGCAATTCAAGATTTATGAAATGTGTATTATTCTTTAAAAAACAAATTGTTTCTCAGTCTTGTGATGTAGCTTACAAGAGTAGGAAAATCATCAATGAGTTAGTGTAAAGTGCACTAAATATTCATTTTTAATTGTACAGGACCGAGATTATATGTTTTCATTATCTGACAGAAATTAGTCACTGTAGATCAAAGAAAAATCTTACTGGTTTAACTTAAGCTATGATTGAACACATCTCATGCTAATATAGGGTAATCTAATTTGCTTGTATGATTTAACTTAAATGGAAAATGGCCTGAATATGTTTAATAACAAAACACTTAGTTATCTTTTTTGTCAAATCATACTTATTGGTTCCCTTGCATGCAATGTGTAACTTTCATGGTTCTCTGAAGACGTGAGGAATCCTTGCCTATTTTCAAGAGAAGGCTTCTGGGTGGTTTGCTGGACTTTGCTGCTAGAGAATTACAAGTTCAGGTAAAGCCTAGAAGTTTGTTTCATCATTGCATTTAAGTTTTCTTGATAAGCTGAAGTCAGTCATTATCTGTTGACTAGAAAGACCTCCTTAATTAACGTGACGTGATATGCCATATCCTCAGTCTCTTGTCTCAAGCATTCTGTTTTGGTTTTTCATGCCACTTGTGGAATTCACTGATAATGTTTTTGTGCTGCTGTTCCTTTAGCATAGTTATATATGCTTTAGACCTTTTGATGAAAAATAGGGTGAAAAGTTTAACATCTTTCCTAAATGTGTCACTTGTGCAACAGACTCAAGTTATTGCCGCAGCAGCTGCTGGTGTTGCAGCCGAGGGGTTATCCCCAAAAGAGGCAAAAGTGGAAGCAGAGAATGCTGCACAGCTCTCTGTGGCTCTTGTAGAGAATGCAATAGTGATGTTGATGCTCGTTGAAGATCATTTACGATTGCAAAGCAAATTATCTAATGCATCAAGGGCCACTGATATTTCCCCTTCTCCCCTTTCGCTTGTATCTCCATTGGGTAATCGCTCAAATTCATCAACAAATATTGGAGAGTCATCAGAACCTATGGATGACCGTCGATCATTGTTCAGTGATTCTGCTGGACTCCCTCTTGATGTATGTATTATGTCAAGATTTGCTAGAACAAACGGTCTATTTTCACTTGTATATGTTTTCTGTTTATGTACTTATTTTCTTTTGCGCCGTTCTCTTTCATTTATTTGTGAAATTGAATAGTTTTTATTAAAAGCTGCGTATCCAATCGTTTTCCATAAATCAAGTGAATTGTTGGAAAGTCTGGGAAAACGAGCTATTCTTCTAACCATTTGCCTGTTAGTTTTATGTTTTACTAAAATGTAAGAAGTCATGCTGCAAGAATCCTTCCTAATTCTTTTCTTCAAATGTAGGAGGAACCTTTACTGAGTGTATCAGCTTTCCTGTTACTTTTGTGAATAGTAGTTCTCTACCTCGGTGTACGCTGAAAAGGAGTACTGTCGTTAATTAGTTTTCTGTATCTTTCCTGTTATTTTGTGGACACATTCCTTTATCTTATTGTGGAATCGGCAATTATCTTCTTTCAGGTGCTTGCTTCTATGGCTGATGCAAATGGTCAAATATCTACTGCAGTTATGGAGCGTCTGACTGCTGCAGCTGCAGCTGAGCCTTATGAATCTGTTTCCTGTGCTTTTGTGTCTTATGGCAGCTGTGCAGTTGATTTAGCGGAGGGTTGGAAATTTAGGAGCCGGCTATGGTATGGTGTCGGCCTTCCGTCAAAAGCCTCTGTCCTTGGCGGTGGAGGTAGTGGCTGGGAATGCTGGAAGTCTGCTTTGGAAAAAGATGCAAATGGAAACTGGATTGAACTTCCATTGGTAAAGAAGTCAGTTGCCATGCTTCAAGCTCTATTACTGGATGAGTCTGGACTTGGGGGTGGTCTTGGTATTGGCGGAGGATCAGGCACTGGTATGGGAGGAATGGCAGCGCTCTACCACTTACTAGACAGTGATCAGCCATTCTTATGCATGCTCAGAATGGTCCTTCTTTCAATGAGGGAAGAGGATGATGGTGAAGATAGTATGCTACTGAGGAATATTAGCATAGAAGATGGTGTATCAGATGCATCAAATCGCATGGTGGGCAACCTCATGACTCTAGATAGCAATTCTCGAATGTCAACACGGAAACCACGCTCAGCTTTGCTCTGGAGGTACACAGAAAATACAATTTTTCATGTTTCCTAAGCACTGCAGGATTGTTCCTGACTTTTACTTGTGTTCTCTTAAGAAAAAGAAGGAAAGAAAAGGGTTCTCCTAAGTCCTAATGCTCTTGCCTTCACATGTTACTTCATAAAAATTGAAGCATTGTTCTTGAACTCTATGGAAATTTATAATGATGATGTGGCAACACCAATTATCTGAAAGCTTCATTGTGTTAACTGTGTGTCCTAAACATTAGATGGTGCAAATCTTGGGTTTGGGTTGCAGGTTTTGTTACAATATGGGAATTTCATCAGCTTGAATATTATCTAGTAGTTCTGTACCTATACCATTTCAAATATTATCAACCATAATTTATATAATACTTGTCCAATAGATTAAGAAAATGACAACACCTATATTGGCAAGACTCGAAACCCTTCTCTTTCTCTGTGGAGCTTGTGACGTCCCATGTAGAAGTTGCGAGCCCGGATGAGCGAGGACAATAGATGGTCGGGTGAGGCTGTTGACCTACGGAATGGTGAGGGGCAGGGTGGTGGTGAGTGATGCAGGGGGTAGGACTGGGCAAATCAATGTGGGTGGCTCAGCGATGCTTAGCGGCATGGTGGGGTTGTCTAGATGGTGGCCTAGGGTTGTCTCCGCAGTTGCTGGCTGCAACTAGTGACGGGAGTGGTGCTGGGCTGAGAGAGGGAGGGAGGTTAGGTTTATTTTTCATAAAATATAAGGACAATTTCGGTAAAGCTTGGGTGCTTTGGATGGTGTGGGTTGTTCTAGTCTTGGGGTTAGGTTTATTTTTCATAAAATATAAGGACAATTTCGGTAAAGCTTGGGTGCTTTGGATGGTGTGGGTTGTTCTAGTCTTTCAACTTTGAAAGGTTGAATTTAAAATGTAAACATAGATTTATATATGTGATGAGTTTCAAAATTAGAACTACTTGTTAAATATGTTTAATATTTAAAATTTCAAAATTCAAAATACCCGTTGCTTGATTAAATTTGACATTTTTTTGACAAACCTTAGTGAATTGGAATGCATGTTTGTAGATTCACAATATTTTTTTGCTTGTGTTTACTTGATGTGGAGCTTATTTGGTGCCACATCAACACCATAGGTCCATGTTGTGCCACGTCAGTGTGACGCCATGTTAGCAATTTTGATGGTGTTACTAACGATCATTGACGGAAGGACTTGATTGCACAAATTGAGATAGCTAGAGATTCGATTGCACAATAATAAACTTAGGACCAAAATGTACGAAATAATAAACTTGAAAGATTAGAATTGTACTTAAACCTAAATTTTATAACGATCAATAATATACTAGGAAATTTGAAAATAGTAAAATCATTGTGTGGTAAATACCATACATTGCCGGTAACTTATAGTTGTAAAAGTGGCCTAAAGTTCGTAAGTTTGCCAGGATGTTTGAATGCATGTTAGTAATTGACTACGAATTGGTAAATTCTTTTCTAACTTACTAATTGGTCTTGTAAGGTTTTGTTTCAAATGTTTAAAATAAAAAAAGTTGGTAATTTCTACTAAATTAAATTAGTTACATGATTAAGTTGCCAGTAACTTATGGCTGGAAAAGCAGCCTAAAATTGGTTAATTGGCCCACCTTAAGAAATTCGAATATTGCTTGGTAATTAATACGAATTGCTAAATTCCTTTGAAACTTACTAATTACATGGTTAAGATTGTGTTTCTGATGGTACATCAAAAAATAAGTTGATAACTTACTACTGAATTTAAGTGGTCACCTTAATGAATTGTTCGCAAGTTACAACCATAAAAGCGTCCACAAGTTGGTAAATTCAAATGCATGTTGGTAAATTGGAAGCGAATCAAATAAATCTAAGTTGGAAGAGTTACAAATTACTAATTTGGCTGGTAAGATTTTGTTTTCGATGGCAAATTTGAAAACAAGTCAATAACTTACAACTGAATTAGTGTTGGTAAATCTGACCCAAAAAAAAAAGTTAGTGTTGGTAAATACTTTAACATCATTGGTAACTTATCAAGGAGTTGCCAGGTAAACAAGTTGCGGGTTACATTATTTTTACCAACCACATTTGCTAGTTACCAATATTTATATAAATTTACCAACCACGGATAATTTGCCCTTTTTATCCAAATGGAACACGATAAGGTTTGCTGTTTTGGATGTATGTTTTATGATTTCTAAGGAAGTTCATGGGCTTTTGTGTACAGTGTTCTTTCACCAGTTCTGAACATGCCAATTTCGGAATCCAAAAGGCAACGGGTGCTGGTTGCTTCTTGTGTTCTATACTCTGAGGTCAGTTTCTAGTTCGGCCTGCTTTGATGGGTAACTTTCCCTCAAATTTTTAATGTGGTACCCTTTCGGCGTTGTCATTGACTCTTTTTTTTGGCATTGAACCTTGTAGGTATGGCATGCAGTGGGCAGGGAGAGACAACCTCTTCGAAAACAGTATCTTGAGGCTATTGTACCTCCATTTGTTGCAGTATTGCGGAGGTGGCGACCACTCTTGGCTGGAATACATGAGCTTGCAACTGCTGATGGTCTGAACCCTCTAATTGTTGATGATCGTGCCTTGGCAGCCGATGCACTTCCTGTAGAGGTAATCGTGAACCATTCACCAGTGAGGTGGCAGCCCTTTTCTTCCCTATTTTCTGGGGACCATAATGATGATTATATGGGGCCATAGTACAGTCGCCTAACTATTGATTGCAACTTGCATAGCATCTTTGCCTGAGCAAAGATACTTGCAAGGACTATTCGGGATAATTCAGGAATTAGAATGTCCCATAAAACTAAGAGCTTGTTTGATAGCTTCATTATCTGCTTAAAATTAGAAACACAGCAGTTAGCGTATTCAATTTGTATGATGACTTTGAATAATGTACTACTTAAATGCAAATTTTTTTAAAAGAAATACTTATTAGGAAAATTTTATAAAAGAAATACTTAATAGCTAAGCAGGAGCATGCCTACTTAATAATTTATTCTGAACACACTAAGTTGGCTTGAGTCAATACTAGTTATCACATTAACCATTTATCCCTATATTTTTGAAGCAATGCCAAAACTGTAAAATGTGTATGCCCTCGATGCATTTTCGGACACCACTTCTTTTGCCAAACGGTCAACGCTTTCAATGACGGTTATGGTTCAAATGTGATCGGGTGGACAATTAGATGAATAAGACAAGGGTTAATGTTGTTAGTGGGATGAGAAGTGGTGGATGATGCATGACAGCGGCAACTGCAATGGCTGACATGGTAGTGTGAATCTGTAAAATTTTCTTTATTTCTTCATTTGTGTGCTGACAATGTTATTATTGAAGCTCATGACTGAAAAAACGGAGGCCATGGAGATGGTGGCTCTTGCATTTATATAAAAAGAAACTCCGTGCTCTTCTTATACTAGTTGTCATTTGTACATGCTTTATAGATCAAACTTTACTGAAGTTCTTTTAGGAGGTGTAATCAGTTGTTTAAACGAACAATCAGCTTACAATAAAATATTTGGATTTTTCAAATTGTTAATAATCAGTTGCTAAATTTACACAACATCAAACTGATTCAACTTTTGCATTTCAGCACTCCACACTTAAAATTCAGTGCTCAAAGTTTGATCGCATATTTACTTGAACCGTAAACAATGTATGTGCTTGATTAGCATAATTTCTGCTTCATCTGAGTGGAAGCAAATATAAAGTATGGTGCAGGAGATTGTTGAAATCATCCATAGTATCAATCACTCGTGCAAGTGCATGTTCCTTTTTCTCTTTGGCTGTGTGAGGTGAAGGCATGCATTTGCATGCAAGTTAAGTTTCCCCTAAAACTGAAGCCAGTGCAAAATTTCCACATGCTAGACTGTCCTTTGGCAGCTTAGCTGCTGCACCATCTTCATGCTTTAATATTGCATTAGCAAACACGATGAGAAAGGTTTTCCCTAGGTAATGAAATAAATGCCATTACTCTATGCGACATCCAGGAGCCTCTGAGAAACGATGTTGATGGGAAAATGAAGAGATATGATGATGGGCCAATGGGGATATTGGGCGTTGATGCTACACTTTTTCTGAAGTCTCTTTCTTATTGTTTCCTATCGTTATTTTTGCATTTCTGCAAACAATCATAATTACGGCAGACAATTGCTGAAGTTTCCCTTACTCCAATTGGGATTTCCAAAAAGTTTGCCATTGATTTTTGTTGATTATGCTGAGGAGTATGTGCTATTGCTACTTTTGTTTGTTCATAATTAGTTTTCATATGATTCTTCAACTTGATGGCTTTTGCTTTGTCGAAGGGCGCAAGAAGAAAATGCCTTCCTCTTCATTTAGTTGTATCAGCTTTATCTTATCCCTTTGCTTTCTATAGCACGATTTATTGAGTATTTGCCTAAATTTACATGCACCAAGCCAGCTATTAATGTCTGTTTGTAATTTTTTAGGCTGCTCTTTCCATGATTTCTCCTTCTTGGGCAGCTGCTTTTGCTTCACCCCCTGCTGCAATGGCATTGGCAATGATTGCTGCAGGAGCAGCTGGAGGTGATGCTCCGGCTCCGATAACAAGTACTCAGCTCAAGCGTGACTCGTCATTGCTTGAGCGCAAAACAGCTAGGCTCCAAACATTTTCCAGCTTCCAACATACTGGGGAGGTACCTAGCAAATCACCAGCTGTTCTGAAGGACAGGGCTACTGCAAAAGCCGCCGCCTTGGCAGCAGCACGTGATCTTGAGCGTAATGCAAAAATCGGTTCAGGGAGGGGTCTCAGTGCTGTAGCAATGGCCACATCTGCTCAGCGTAGGAATGTGAGTGATATGGAGCGGGTCAGGAGATGGAATCTTTCTGAAGCAATGGGAATTGCCTGGATGGAATGTCTTCAATCAGTTGACAGAAAATCAGTCTATGGGAAGGACTTTAATGCTCTAACCTACAAATTCGTTGCTGTTCTTGTTGCAAGTTTTGCTCTAGCAAGAAATATACAACGGTCAGAGGTATGATCACCGCTTGTTCTGCTGATTTTCCCACGTCTTGTGGCAGTGCATGCCAGTCTTACCTTGGCTATCTTTGCTGTTCTAGGTTGACCGACGTGCACAAGTTGATCAATTCGCTAGGCATCACCTGTATGCTGGAATTCATGGATGGCGCAAACTCATCCATTGTTTGATAGAGATGAACAGTCTTTTTGCACCATTTGGAGACCGCTTGTGCAACTCTGCTAGGGTATAAACAGTATCAGGCTCATTATCTATTGTTGACAACTATTATAGCTTCTGCCTTCTTTTAGAATCTCATTTGTTGATGGTCTCTCTATTTTTTTTTATGTCAAATTCATTGTTGAAGTCCAGGATTGACCTGATATAAATTTGGGTAGGTTTTTTGGAAGTTGGATTCCATGGAAACCTCCTCCAGGATGAGACAGTGTTTGAGAAGGAACTACAAAGGATGTGACCATTATGGTGCTGCTGCTGATCATGATGAAGTTGTAAAGAAACTAGATCAAAAGAATGTTATGGATCCATCTGGTGCTCCAGCTCTCACAGCTGATGCAATTTCAATGGAGCTTGAGAATGAGGATGACGAACAGGCAGAAATAGACAATATCGAGGGTAAAACCAGTAATGTGGATCCAAGTGACGAAAACCAATCGAGTTTGTCTGGAAAAGCACAGCAAAACCTGCAGGTGGTGGCAGAATCCAGTGATATTCAATTTGGTAGTGAGCAAGACTTGGTTCAAAGTTCGTCTGCTGTTGCTCCTGGCTACGTGCCTAGTCAAGTGGATGAAAGAATTGTGCTTGAGCTTCCTTCATCCATGGTCCGACTTCTGAGGGTTGTACGAGGAACCTTCCAAGTGCGTTCTAGATCTTACTCGAAGCATTCTGTCTGCATATCAGGATATCGTGTGTTTTCTGTTTAATTATATGGGAATGAGTGTGGTGTGTATGTGTGTCTGCATGGAAAAATGATTTGAGTCAGAAAAGTTAAATTATACTTTGTGTTGATTTGATTATTGCAAGCATTGGTATTCTCTTTGCTTTGACTTCGAGTCGCAGAGGCAAAGAACCAAAGTAACCAGAATTATCGGTTTTTGGGGGAACTCCAAAGGTAGGCAATGGTCTAGAGAGGATTCGTGGTTTGGTTATTTTTCTTTTGTTACATGAAGTGGGGAGGGGACAGTGAGACTCAAACTTGAGTCTATTGCCTAAGAAGGGGTGACCTCTACCAATTTGGCTGGGTGTTGAACTCATTTTGCTTTTGCATTTGGGGTGGTGTACCTTCTATGAGCAAATGGCCTTCTGTGCTACATAATGCTTGAGCCCGAAAATCTATCCTAGCAAAAGTAGCAGTTCTTGCTGCTTTGTTACAGTCGTAGATGTTCAGTGTTTCATATGGAAATCTTGTTATTATTTGTGGCGCATTTAGGATGAAATTTAATCTAATGATGTGTAGTTTTTCCTTCTTGTTTTTCATTGGTATTTAATGAAGAAATTTATGCATTTCAGATAACAACCAGGAGAATAAACTTCATTGTCGAGCATGTTGTGGACAATAATTACACAGATGATATGGAAGACAAATCTGAATCAACGGAGGACGAAAAGGATTACAGCTGGCCGATATCTACACTTCATCAGATCTACAGCCGAAGGTCAAATAACATCTACATTGTTAATGCCTTATTGGCTCTCTTTTAGCAAACATTGTGCAGCTCTTTCATTTTTGTCATGAAACGTGTGTGCTAAGCAAATTAGGCTGAATTGCATATCATTTTGAGTTGGCTCAAGCCAGATTAAAATGCATCCCTTCATGTGGTGCTGTGCATTTGTTTGACATTTAGGTTAGATTACATTGATCGACTATTCAAATCATAGATTGCTCTTCAAACTAGCCTGTTGAAGCTGTTCAGCTGGTTGAACTGTGAAGCGGAGTCCTAAACCGTTATGGTTCTAAACACTGGTCTAGTCTAGAAGAATCTCATCACTTTGACTTAGGGTCTATTTTGCATCCATCTTCTCATGCTAACATTCCGCTATCTTCGCTCAAGAGAAAAAAGGGTTAAAATTGATATATTACGGTAATTATCTTTACTAAATGCAGCGATTATGTCCAGTACACATGTCACCCATCCAATGGTGAATGTGTACAGAGTTCTTTACACTGACAGTGAGCCTAATAAAATTCCTATTTTAATGCAAATTAAAATGGGGGGCCTCAAGTTCTTGTTCCTTTCGGTCTTGGGACTTTGGCTTCTCAGCTGATTTTATGCTTATTGATATGTTTCTGTTACAGATACTTGTTAAGACGAAGTGCTCTGGAGTTATTTATGGTTGATCGTTCGAATTTCTTCTTTGATTTCGGGGTATCTCTCATCTCTTTCCTTTAATTTATGTTGTGAAAAATACAATGTTATTCCAAAATTTTAGGGCTAGCTTGTGATGTTTGTGCTTATTGTGAATTTGTGTTTCCCGTTTCCACAGAGTATAGAAGGTAGAAGAAATGCTTACCGAGCCATAGTTCAAGCACATCCTCCTCATTTGAGCAACATTTATCTTGCAACCCAGGTTTGCACTTTATATGGTGTTGTTTCCTTTCTCTTCCTTTTCTCTCTTTCTATTTTACCCCTCTTCTGATTGGGGCGACATGGTAGGTACTCTAGGTGTGACGAATTTCACTTGAACATTCATTTTTGTGGAGTGAAATAAGGGTGGGGTTTCTCGATATGCTAGGGGCCTGTCTGGCAATGTGCCAAATAGTAAAAATTTCTGTTTTTTTGTTCCCAGAATCAGTTTGGGAACAGAAATCCGTTTGTTAAATTTTTTGTGCTCAAGCACAATTTTGCAAAAAAATTGTTCCCAAAATCAGTTTTGGAACATAATCAAGAAGCAAAAAAAAGTAGCTTCTTGATTCTGGAACAATTTTTTCATTTCTGATTCTTCTTGATTTTCTTCTTTTTTTTGGTTTGTTGTTGTTCTTCGGCTTGCCGCCCGCCACCCGCCGGCCACTGCCGCCGTCGACCGGCCACAGGCCAGGGCCGGCGACGCCCTCGCCGGCCCTCGCCAAGGGTGTCGCGGCCCTCACCTGTGGCTGGCGAGGGTCGCCCTCGCCGGTGGCCGGCGAGGGTTCCCCTCACCCAGCCAAGGTGAGGCTGACCTCGCCGCCGCCACCCAAGTCCGTCACCTGGGTGATGGTGGCGAGGCCGGCCTCGCCACGGCTGGGTGAGGTTTGACCTCGCTCAGATCTAGTGAGGCCAACCTCGCCGTCGCTTGGGTCCTCGCCATCGCCTTGGCTGGGCGAGGCTGACCTCGTTGTCGCCTTGGTTGGCGATGGCGAGGTCGGCCTCGCCCAGGCAAGGCCAGGCCAACCTCGCCGTCGTGACCGGCGAGGCTGGCGGCGAGGGCTGCGACGCCCTCGCCGGCCATGGCCAAGGAAGGGAAGGAAAGAAAAAAAAGGAAAAAAAAAGGAAAAAAAGGAAAAAAAAGAAAGAAATATTAAAAAAATCAAAATATTATTAAAATATTATTAATAAAATGAAATTTTGTGTAGTTACCAAACACATTTCTGTTCTTTTTCTATTCTAAGAATAGAAATTTTGGGCAGTTACCAAACGCCTTTAAATGCTTAGAAATTGTTTTCGAGAACAGAATAAAAAAGAATCATTTCTGAGCATAATCTGTTCCCGGACACAGAATGGTTGCCATGCGCAGCCTAGGGCACTTTACTAATGCTTGTTATTGTAACTTGTGTTGCAACATCTGATTGGAATTTACCATGCCCATGTCATTTACAATCTATAATTTTTTATTAATATTTATCACAGAGACCAGAACAACTTCTCAAGAGAACTCAGCTGATGGAGCGTTGGGCTAGGCGAGAGGTGAGAAAGCGTGGAAAGGTTTTATTGGCCTTTTCTTATAGAAAAGCTTGATTTTGTTTGATGCTTGCACTTTTGTTAGCAGTGGGGTGTATAATACATAGTATAGGAAGACAATGCTAACAGAAAAGTGTTAACCTGCAGATTAGCAACTTGGGTGTATAATACATAGTATAGGAAGACAATGCTAACAGAAAAGTGTTAACCTGCAGATTAGCAACTTTGAATATTTAATGCATCTGAATACCCTGGCAGGACGCAGTTACAATGACATCACTCAGGTGACCTTTTTCGTTTCTTACATTTTACAATGAACTTCTACTGCCATTTGTTGAACTTCTGTGCTTCTTAACTTCCTTTCTTTTGTTTGTAGTATCCAGTTTTTCCTTGGATTCTTGCGGATTACAGTTCGAAGAATTTGGATCTTTCTGATCCTTCTTCCTATCGAGATCTATCAAAGGTGACTGAGAAAACTTGAAGTTTTGCTTCTCCTAACTATATAAACTTAGTTTGAGCCATTAAAGGGAATTATCTTTTTGCAGCCTGTTGGTGCCTTGAACCCTGATCGGCTCGAAAAATTCCAAGAGAGATATTCTAGTTTTGATGATCCCATTATCCCCAAATTTCATTATGGTTCACATTATTCCAGCGCTGGAACAGTAAGTCTACTTATCCTTGTTATTATTAATGTAGTACTTACCTCTTAATATTCATATCTGCCATAATTTGTTCTTATGCCTATCCTTTTTATTTATTTATTGATTCTTGATGCCAATGGATCTTTATTCCTTAACCCTAGCTGTTATCTCACTTAAAAAATTACCAAGGTTGCTATTATGTTAGAACGTTAATATCTCCTGCCTTTAAAGATGGCCCCATTCAATGGGGCTTGAAATCCATGGTACAGAAGCATATGCGAAGATCAAGTCTTCTGGCAATAAAAGATGCACTATACTGACCTAACCCACGCAAAATATTATATCCAGTCTATTTCCCCACTTAACATCTATTTTAGGATATCTAGTGTCTTTCATCCTACTTACACAAATGATTACCCATCTCTGGTGATTATATGCCCCAATATGAGATTGTTGGGACAAGAAATTAAGTTGAGGAATTTTCATTTCACTATCCTTCTAGTCATTTTTATTCAAAATTTCTTTGGCTTCATATGAGAAGCTTCATCTCACGTCTGTCTATTGGCATTAGGATTTTAAACTCTTCAGATTGCTCTCGTCTCCTTGCTTTTATCCTCAAAATTCATGGCCCATTAATGAAACTATCCTATGAGGCGTTTGACCTCATCTAAGATTCGTTCAGCACATTATTTGTTGATTGTTCTATGACCAGGTGAAGTTGTAAATGGCAGATCTATGTACCGCATATAATTCATAGGATGCACTTGCTGATCCTTGAGATTGATGTCATTACAAATTTTAAGCATACTGTTTCTTGTTGGATTTCCGGATTTTACATGGTCCAGTAATCAAGGTCTGCGGTTTCACTTTCTTATCGTGCATAAATTGAACCAAGTTTTACTGTTCATGACCTTCCCTTCCAATTGACTTGTCAGGTATCTAGAAAGGTATATTTGCTGGCCCTTTTGGTGAATGAGTTTGAATGTCCTTGTTTTCTTACACTTCTATATATCTCATTGCCATCTGTGCATATCTTCTGCTTCCAGTCTAATGTGTACGCAGTGTGAAATAATGCTTAATGATTGCTTATGTTTCTTTTACAGGTGCTATATTATCTTGTAAGGGTTGAACCTTTCACAACTTTGTCCATTCAACTGCAAGGTGGTAAGTTTGACCATGCAGACAGAATGTTTTTTGACGTAGCTGCTACTTGGAATGGAGTTCTTGAGGACATGAGCGATGTGAAGGAATTGGTATGTTTTTCTATAGATGTTTTTTTCCCTATATCATGATTTACATGAAAATCTGTTCATTTAACTTTGCTTTATGAGTAAGTAACGGCTGATGTCCTTCTCGTCAGGTTCCTGAGCTATTTTACCTTCCGGAGATTTTAACCAATGAGAATTGCATTGATTTTGGTACGACGCAGATGGGGGACAAGCTTGGTATGTACCCGAATTATGTGTTGATGGCACAAATTTAAATTTTCTAAAGTATAACTCTTGATTTCTGTTTTGTTGTTGGTACCAGATAGAGTGAAACTTCCGCCTTGGGCTGAAAGCCCAATTGACTTCATCCATAAGCATCGGATGGCTCTTGAAAGTGAGCATGTATCGGCACATTTGCATGAGTGGATCGATCTTATATTTGGGTATACTCTGGACCTCTCTGTTCTTGGTTTTGCTTTTTCTCTATTCGATCATATAACCTGTGGATGGAACACATGAAATTTTTTAAAATTTTGAGGTGAACTCCAGGTTTTCATAAAATTATGAATCTTTACAGGTATAAACAACGTGGGAAGGAAGCTATATCAGCAAACAATGTCTTCTTCTATGTCACCTATGAAGGAGCAGTCGATATTGACAAGATCTCGGACCCAGTAAAATAATCTTGTTCTTCTACTTTTTATATTTTTTTCCATGGTGGTTTCTATTTCTTATATACTACCATTTGTGAAAAAATAGGTGCATCAGCGCGCTACACAAGATCAAATAGCTTATTTTGGACAAACGCCATCCCAGCTCCTAACACTACCACATATGAAGAGGCTGCCATTAGCTGACGTTCTTCATTTACAGGTAATTTATAGGGATGCGTTTATGGCATAGTGCTGATGTTTTTGCATGAATGGGGTTCAGGATACCCTAACTGGATATGTCCTACTTTCCATGTCGTTTCATGTGTTGTTGAAGATCATTTGACACTTAGTCGTTTTTATGTACTAAATAATTAATTGCAATAATTGACTGTTAAGGAATATGATTGACTCAACGACGTATCTCTGGGAAAGTTCAAATTAACTTGAGTAATATCTGTAACTTTTTGTTGCATCTAGTTTCTAACAAGGTCGTAGTAATGCAATATGCAAGTTTAGTTCATTGGAAATTCAAAATCAAAAAGTGTAATTTTAGTAATTTTGAAAATTAATCAGTTATTGAAGTTCATAAACATGTTGCTAAATAGTAAGTAAATTTAGGTTATGGAGGCTGCTTAATCATTAATGTTCTGTAAGATACTGATGCTTTTTCCAATCTGCTCGTATGGCCACATTGTTCTAGGATGAAATGATTCTTATAATAAGCAGCTTAAATTCCCTTTAGTTTGTCTTGCTCTTTTTTCTGTCACTAAGAGGAATGCAAATTACTGTGGCTCGTAGTGTATATGTTGTCCAGTTGGAAGGCTCTGTGGGTGCTCATGTAACAACTATTTTATTATTGTCAAATAGACATTCTTTCCTTCATGTAGACATGAAAAGCCTGCAAATGGAGTTTGTACGTGATACTAGTTCACTGAGAAATTTATCCTGGATTTTAGTTTTTATGAATTCTCTCTCTTGTAAATGATTTAGTATGGGGGTAAGTACCTTCTTGCTACTTATCCAATGGATCTTTTTTTTAAAGATATAGATGACCTCTTTCTGTGCCAAAATCTGCACCTTTTTCTCTTTGATATAAGGGTCTGCAACATTTTGAGATTCACATGCTGGTATGAATGTACTGTATGAATCCAGTTGCTAACAGTTTCAAGCATACATTCATCAAGCTCTACTTTTGCTTGCTGTTGGATGGATTATAAATCATTATTCTGAGTCATTATCCATGTGGAGAAATAGAGACTTCTGCCTTAATGCATGTTTTGGTTGTGCTCGCAGAAAAGTAGAATGTCGAAATAGAATTTTTTGTGAAGCATAATGTCAATGGCATCATTTGGTAACTGTGAAATGATTAGTCATGTACCAGCTCTTTCTTCAAAATTATTTTTTTAAAGCATGTCAGGAGTGCTTACACAAGTGAATATTCCTTATTGCGATTTTGTCATGCATTGGCTGATAACATGGCTGCACTAGCCATTAGGTAACCAGAAAACCTTTCAATCTCAGTATTGATGGCTTAAAAGACCATTCCAAATCATTAACAGAATAATACAAAACTGGCATTATGACATCCTGATGTCCCACACCGGATGAGAGTGGCCTTTTTAAGTGATTCTAAGTAAGAACCACACCCAAATGGTCACCACCTTGTGTGGTTCCGCTTGACTTTAACGTTTGGGGTTTGGCCCCTTACATGTGGAAGGGGCTGGGTTGTTACAACAATGATATATAAGGTGCCTTCCTTGTGAGAGAAGGTGAGTTAAACAGAGGAGGAAGGATAGTCAGGTGGTGTTAAGTTTTTTTTTGGTAAGGCCAGGTGGTGTTAAGTTAGTTCTCTTGATTGTCAAGAAACATGTCGTAATAGGCTTCCATCAGTAGAGATATAATGAGGAGATGCCACCTAGCATAATGAATCCAATGGACATAATTCCAGGATGTGGAAATAAAACCTGCACTCATACCGATCTGTTTTAGGGAATTGGTAGGCTGGGCAGTAAATTATCTTCAGGCTGAGCTGAAATTTAGAAGAAAAGAACCTTGTTCGTTTGCTGAAGATAGAGAAATCTGGTCGAAGTGAATTCTTTTACATCTTGCATAAGTGATATGGCCTTAAGTGGCACTCATAAACCTTTTTTTTTTCAGACAATATTTCGGAACCCTAAAGAAGTCAGACCTTATACTGTCCCAACACCTGAGAGATGCAATCTACCTGCGGCTGCAATGCATGCATCTTCAGATTCAGTTGTCATTGTTGATGTAAATGCTCCAGCGGCACATGTTGCACAGCATAAATGGCAGCCAAACACACCTGATGGTCAAGGAACTCCATTCCTCTTCCAGCACGCAAGGGCTGCTACAAACTCCACCGGTGGAACATTCATGCGCATGTTCAAAGGGACAGCCGGACCTGGTGCAGATGAATGGAAATTTCCCCAAGCACTAGCATATGCAACATCAGGAATTAGAAGCTCAGCAATAGTTTCCATCACATCTGACAAAGAAATCATCACGGGTAACCAATCTGTGCAAATGTCATTTTTTCATATGGATAATCACGTTATGCGAAAATCTGGAGGGTTTCATCATCTCTTTGCTTCGAATACATGAAGGAAAGGAGGAACGGAGCAAAAGAAAGTAAAAATAATTCAAGAACTTCTTAAGATAGTTGTGTGCTTCTCATTATCAAGGGTAATTACAGGGGATTGGGCTTAATTACGAGTGAAGAGAGATTATGCGAACTTGATGTTTGAACATCGTATACCATAGAATTTGTTGTGAAGAAAGCACTACTTGGCAATGACATCAATATGTCTTCTTTTTCTGAAAATGTTTGTGTACGAAGCATTTCGCCTGTTGATTTGAGACTTCCATGTCATCACACAGAAAATTATGACTTCCATTATCAGAAAGATATAGTGTTGAATCGATAATAAGTTCACTGGTGTGGGCAAGAATGAGTTAGTTGTCTGACCAATGTGCGCAAGATGAGGATGCTTCTATAAAAAATGCTAATACATTACAATATTTTTTTTAAAATGCCCCCCTTAAGAATATCCAGCATAAAGCTGGTGTTGCGCTGAGACATATAGAGTGATTTATCCAAACTGGTTTGGGCATGCAAAGTGGCATTCTCACTTTGCCAAAGTTAGAACTCGAAAAACCATGCGGTGGTCCATGCGCCTGAATGGAAAGTATTATTCAAGAAAGAGAAAGTACATATGAATGGAAAGTCTACAGAAGGACCTTTACTGTGTTATTCTTTCTAGGATGAGATTTTGGATAGCTGACAAGCTTGCAATATTGTTGATGTGCTGGGTAATGGTCTCCATTCTCAAATAGCAGTATGGTTTAATGGTGCCAGGGTCTGGAGTCTTAGGGAGCTGTATGCTTTTTTATACAGTGAAATATTCCAAAAAAGTTGATTTTTTCGTTTCTTCCGACCGGAATGTTTAGCCTCCCAAAACTGGTTTTGAAATTGAGAGAGGCGGACCCAGAGAGAGAGGGTGGGGGGTGGAGTTATCTTTCTCTGAGTTCCTTATATTGGATTTCTCTTAAATGGTAATTTGTTGACAAGTGTCTTTCTCAGCTTTTTCATAGACGTGAGTTCCTTATGTTTGGCTTACTCTAATAAATGGTAATTTGTTGACATATTATCTTAAGGTGTCTAACCTTGGTCATCCTAAATTTTTTGGTTTTTGAAAAGGTGGACATGCGGACAATAGTATCAAGGTAATATCTTCTGACGGAGCAAAAACGCTAGAAACGGCAATTGCACACTGTGCTCCAGTGACTTGCCTTGCTCTTTCACCAGATAGCTACTACCTTGTAAGCGGCTCGCGAGATGCGACAGTTTTACTTTGGAAGATTCATCGGGGCTTTGGTACTGGTTCAAGTAGCATATCGGATCTTCCTACCAGTGCAGGCACACCAACTTCAAGCACCAACAGTACTCAAAACATCTTGGCTGACAAAAGCAGAAGACGTCGTATTGAAGGTCCAATACATGTTCTTCGAGGCCACCTCAGGGAAATAAGTTGCTGCTGTGTTAGCTCAGATCTAGGGATTGTTGTGTCATGTTCCTATTCATCTGATGTTTTATTGCATTCAATAAGGAGGGGCCGGTTGATCAGAAGATTGGCTGATGTTGAGGCACATGCTATTTCCCTTTCAACCAAGGGAGTTATTATGACTTGGAACGAATTAAGACATACACTCAGCACCTTTACTCTCAATGGTGTACCAATTGCTACAGCACAACTCCCTCTTTCTTGCAACATCAGCTGCATGGAGATTTCTATGGATGGGGAAAATGCTCTGCTGGGAATAAATTCATCTTCAGAAAACTCTGGATCCTCTAGTAGTAACAAGGATTTGAACTTCAAAACCTCTGTCCTTGAAGAGAACGATAAAGAGTTGGATGAAACTGGTCAAATTTTAGACATTCAGTCATCGTCACTTTGTTTCCTAGATCTCCATACTCTTAAGGTAACAAATAAGTTTCCATTTTGAGATTAGCATGATCATCCGCATTAATTGTCATGCCATAGATGCTGGCTTCAACAATGTGAGGGATGAGGTTTAGTGTTGACCTAAGTTTAGGAAGTAGGTAAACAGTTATCACCGTCCCCTCCACGTAATCACATAAATAGCATGAATGCAATTGCCATAGCCATTTCAATGCGGAGATATGGTCTGTAAGGACGAACTATGACTCGGGTTTCTAAGAGCTAGAATTTCTCTATTATGCAATGCCATCAAATGCAGTTCAGCATATAATTAGTTATCATGCCCTAGCTGGTCTTGGATATCAGTTTATTTTTAACCTTGTAGCTGTTGCTCATTTTTGTTTATCCTATCAGAATTGTTCTGTGCTTTCTTGGATGTCGGTTCTTTAAACTTTCAGTAGCTCACGGTTTCTCCTTATCTTTTGGAATTTAATCTACAATTTGATCTTGCAGGTGTATCACACGCTAAAGCTGGTGGATGGACAAGATATCACAGCTGTGGCGCTGAACAAGGACAACACAAATCTTTTGGTGTCTACCGCGGACAAGCAGTTGATAATATTCACTGATCCAGCAGTAAGCAAAACTCATCTTTGATACTTGTTCTTTCTTTATTGATCTGTGTAGGTTGTTTGGATCATCCGAGCCTTGTCTGGGAGTCAGTTGATGCGAGAGTCAGTTGATGCGAAAGAAATTGATCTAATATATAATTCGATTAGCACTTTTAGTATCTAAAGTTGATACAAATGTTAAAGAGTCATTGGACTTCTTGGTTGCCATGGTTAGGACCTTTGCCTTGCAGATATTTACTTATGTCTTCATCTTAATCTCTCTCTCTCTCTTGCAGTTGAGCGTGAGAGTCGTGGATCAAATGCTCAAGCTGGGTTGGGAGGGTGATGGGCTTAGCCCTCTTATAAAACCATAGTCGAAGGAGATTGAACTGTGTCCAATTGATGACTCAAAGGGCAAAACTGCACAGCTAGACAGAAGAGCAAGGGTTGCAAGCACAGATTGAGTGGCATTCGTGAATTTTTCGTCAATGCTGGACTCGCGGCTTCCCTATTTTCTGCAGTTTGCAATGTTGTATCAGGCAAGCGGATCAACCTGCAACCCTTTGAGTACGCGACAGTTTCTTTTGGGACGGTTTAGATATTGTCATTAATATAAGTTGAAGCTGAGATAGAGGGAGAGGGAGAGAGAGGCTCTGTGGATTGAGCTATTCATTTTTGTCGACCATTTTTTTTTATTAGAGTAGAATACGAGAGTATAGCATTTTTTAATTCGTGTAATCCTTTTCTTTTGATTGGCTGTAAAATGGTGAGACTACTTGGTGCTTTTGAAAAGGTCTTGTAAATTAAATCTTCATATTAATCAAAACTCATCTGTACACGTAAATATGCGGAAGCGATTTGGGATTTTCAGCTTCTATGGTCTTGATCTTTTTTCCTTTTCTTCTTCCTCTTTTGAATGAAATCTAACAGAAATTTCCACTGTCCATCTCCGAAGCCTTCACGTCTCATGAAACTATGATGGAGCAATTATGCTGAGATAATGCAATAAGAGAGATATATTTCTGGAGGCAATTCCTCCTCTTAAGCATCTTAATACTTGCCCAATGCCTCCGGTCTCCAGTAATTACATCCGGTCGACCAACGAGACAGGCTTTAGCGATTTGGTGCCTTACTCGTGTTCTTGTCTCCCTCCTCCACAAGGTTGACAAAAAATGTGGGAGAACACAGCCAGCATTCAGAGACGTCAAAGAGATTGGTACTTTGTCTCAAATAAGGGCCTAGCTCACCGACCAGCTAAATTTTTGTTGGCCGTTGAGCACATGCATTTTGCATGCTAATTCTGGCGACATAGTGAGGGGCATTTTTGTCCAAAAGCATTTCTTTCCTTTTCTTATCATTTTACTGTTCATCATCGTCTTTGTTCTTCCTTAAGTGGGTTCTTTCCTTGACTGGTGCTTCTTCTTTTCAAAGTGGTTGGTAAATACTAGATTATTGAGCGAAATTGCCTGGGCTTGGGCTGGTATAGCGTAGGCCGCGTGTGGATAGAATAAGCTCAGCGGGCTTGGTGTCTTCATTAAATTTTTCTCTTTTTACTTGTTTATTCTGTAATTTTTTTTGTTATTTAATTTCTGTTTAAGCACACGGTGATCCAGGGCTATTTAACATCCAAGACGTACCGCTTTGAAGGTGCGTATAGTAGCAAGATAGCCGAAGCAGCACACATACAGCAGTTGCTAGTAGCTTACATGTCTCTACACCCAATTCCATCAGCAGCGCGAGAGCTAGTGCAGAAGCCAAGTGCACAGAAACATGAAGTACCCCACTCATTACACAAACGTGATCACTGCAATTAGTAATAGCAAAGCACCTGCTAGGGACACGTTAGAGTATTCCAGCATGTCCTTGAAAGCAGCCTATACAATGACTAGAAAACAGTTCATCTTTGAAAAATGTGATTGGGTTCACACAGCAGAGAAAATGAAAGATATAGCGAACAATAACTCAAAAGTAATCCAGGAGAAGTATATCGTGTATATATATAAATATATGCACAAATCACTATTCGTATATATGTTCATTTTTACATCCCACAGTAGCAACTATAGAGAAAAATAACCCAAAAATATGCAACGTTCGACATGCTAATTCAATATAACATATTTATTCTATAGGAGTCAAAAAAATTGTCGTCAACTATATTAATCCCCTTGTGTAAGGGACGCTTGTCTGAGGCAACCAAGTGTGTTCCCATCCAAGAAGGTTGAAGTGGTGAATTTCACCGCATGCTTGGGCCCAATAACGTGGTACCCGGGCCACTCGACCCAATTCTTCTTATTCGATTCAGGCCCTCTATTTTCAAACTCTGTATAGTAAGTCTAGTGGAGTATCACCCCATTTGTCCCACCTGGCAGGGTTTATGAGGCTATCCATGAAGCTTTGCACATACACTACGCTTGAAAACGGCCTCCATGGTCTCCCCAAATATGTCTAGACAGAGGTGTTGCTTGAGGTCACGTCGTCGACTGCCATGATGGTGTAGTTCTGAAAGGACATGCCTATCTTCAATTCCTCTTTCTCACGCCTGGTGATCATGTTAGCCCCCTGATAATAGGAGGCGGGGTAGATGTTGCAGTTCTAGACGATAACAATTGCATCGCCAAAGATGAAGTCAACCGTGCTGTAGATATTGTACTCGCGATAAACTGCTTGTTATATTGCGTCAGGAGGGTGTCTTGGTAGGCCTTGAAGCTTCAACAGTAGAACACTGACATGTTACCTCCAGTTTGGACGGCCACGGCCTGGTCCTTAAGTGGCTCGGCCATTATTCGGAAGGTGATGTCCACGGCCACAAAGTTTAGTGTCATCACGGTTGTGATAGGGTAAATGAATTGGTGAGATAAATTATACAATAAAAATGCTACTTATGATTGACATTTGACTTAGAACATCCACTAAATGGGTATACTAACTAAATCATAATATAACTCTTTATCAAAATGAGGAAGTATTGAATGTTGCGCGAGTGACCGTAGTCCACCGATCGACCATGCTCCGATATCCATCATCGTCTGGTTAATGCCGTCTTTGGTCATCATTATATATTTTTTTGTTATTCGGAATCGTCACGTGCTTCTTGTATATACCGGCGGCCATGTGTATTAAGAAGTACCCCTTCATGACTTGCAAGTAACCTGCATGTGGCTTGCACGCAACTTGTACATGACTTGCACGTGACCTGCACATGACTTGTATATGAGACGAGTGTTGAAGTATTGTCCAAATCGCTTGACATACAGTCAAAACATAAGCCGTCATACAGTCAACACATAGGCTGTCATATATTTCTTAAGGTTAGCGCGTTTTATTAATGAAATTGGATGAACATATCACAGAAGTAGAAAATCATCGTGAGATTCAGAGACTTTGATATCTGGTTACACTATTTTTCTATGTACTTATTCCTCACCTCTAGTGTGTTTGTCAAATCAGATTCAAGCCTATCTTGCTTAAAGAAGGATCTCTCTTGTTTTTTTGTCAAATCATTAATGATGATAACTGCCATTATGTCAACCAATGGCTATCGAGTTAACCTCATTATCATCCTAGGATGTGATGATTAATCATCTCTCACTTTGCATATATGAGCATCTATCTATTAGGAAAATTTAAGTACTCAATAAGTTGGAATACCCAAAATCCTAACTATATATTCTAACTACTCCTAATGATTATTTGTTTTGGTATCTAAAGAAGCATTACTAAAACAGAGAATGTTAATTTTTTTTGGCCAAACAAAGAACGCTATCGACTGATAGTTGTGTAACGGAAAAAGCCCTAACTGGATATCGAAATAGACTCATCATTCCATCCTCTCTCATCAATTACTCCTTATTTGTATAAAACAGACATTATCACAATTTAAACATGAAAAATTAACCTTTCACACATTCTCCTCCTGCGTTCATATGTGTAAGGGAGCCGATCCCTTCTTCTGGCGAAACTTTTCTCCCTCTTCTCCCTTGACTACTTGAACCCAAAGGCTCCACTAGACCCACATAATCAAATTTCAGGTGCTTGACGACATTTAACAATCCCCTCAAATGTTCAATTTCCAATTCCAACATATGCTTTGCAACAAGCTGCTTTTGCATTTGAATTATCCTGCGATAGAGTTCCTCCTTTTGCCTCTGAAACATGAGAAGTGTCAAAAAAGAATAATATGACAAGATATGTATTCTCTTCACATGAGAAGAAATATGAAGTGAACACCTTATGTTCTTCAGCTAGTTTCAAGACTCTTTCAACTTGTTGTAATTTCAAAACAATCAATTTGGGTGGACGATTGTCCAGAGCATTGATGTAAAAAAGAAGTTAGCCTCACCAAATAATTATACTCTACAAAGCATGCATATATAATCTCACAACACCTAAGTTTAGTCATACAGTCAACATTCCATCATTCATGAAGATCATAGAAGTAGAAACTTGTGACGTTTAGACCTCTATTATGTTAATCAAATCAAGCACTTCCTCCGTGATCTCCTTATTCGGTATAGTTTTTTCAGATTGGTAATCTCGTTCTCTTTTTTTTGGGCAGTAGGGGTGTGTTCCTCTCTTCCGCTCTTCATGGTGATCTCGTTTCATTATTTTGGTACCAGAAAACCATAATTGCTAAACCCAACTTGTCAATATGGGTATCAAAATGAGGAAGCCTTATTAAATGTTGCATAGGTGACCGTGGTCCACCCATCAACCACGCTCTGATATCCAATGATCACCGTTGGCTTAATGCCATCTCCGGTCATCATAATATATTTTTTGTTATAGGGAATCGTCACCTATTCGTCGTATATACCTGCGACTATGTGTATTAAGAAGTACGTGCACGTGGCTTGCACGTAACCTGCATGTGAGACAGGTGTCCCAAATCGCTTGACATGCAATTAACACATAGATCATCATTACTCAGAAGAGGTTCGACTGTAGGCTGCTTTTGCTCGACTGGAACCGCCTCGTTGGACCGCTTCTTCTTCCTCGTGAAAACCTGAAGCGCAGGCAGAGAAGGTCCACCTGAAGCTTCATCTGCGACCCATTCGAGAGAGAAAAACAGAGAAGGCGAGCAACAACAGCGGAGATCAGCCTACTCCATTTCAACTTCGAACTACATAGAAGGAGGAAGCAAAGGGGACATGGGAGAGGGGCCTCGTATATACCTGCGACTATGTGTATTAAGAAGTACGTGCACGTGGCTTGCACGTAACCTGCATGTGAGACAGGTGTTCCAAATCGCTTGATATGCAGTTAACACATAGATCATCATTACTCAAAAGAGGTTCGACTGTAGGCTGCTTTTGCTTGACTAGAACCGCCTCGTTGGACCACTTCTTCTTCCTCGTGAAAACCTGAAGCGCAGGCAGAGACAAACGCTTTCTTCTCGGCTTTGGCCCCACCACCTTGGCTCGGCTCGATAATTTTTTCCAAAGAAAGTATTTAGAAATCTTTCAATCGTAAGATGGGTTTGGGCAAGAATTTTTAGGCTCGAAACCTTACCACCCGGCCCCTTTTCTTCTTTACAGGTCAGACCCGTAATCCGTTTAGAACCGCTCCCCGATCAAGTCTAGCACAGCACACCGGCGAAAATATACATGGCCTAACACAAAAATTTCCCGCGAAGCACACACCATCGGGGCTTGCTAAAACTTCACACGCAAGGTTACAAATAGCAATGACTCGGATCAAAAAGCAAAGAAGAGAGAGGGGGCTGATGATTCTTTTCCCCCCGTGTGCGTTCCATCCCATCACCAACGCTCCTTCAATTTGCTCTGCTTTTGGCAAAAGCTGTGCCCTCGACGAAGACCCAATTTACTCGATCAGCCAATCCAC